GTGAATCGCCAACAATAAATTAGTCGCGTGTTGCTTGACCTGCATGTCCTGGCTGGGTCTAAAGAGCTTGGGTAATATGAGCACAACAAGTAATGTCATGATGCATAAGAATGTCACAAATTGTAGCTAAAGCAAACAAATGTCAGCTTCCTTTTTCTTTTCGTTTTCAACAGATGACTCAGTTTGGCTTTTGGACTTACAAAACTAGACATATGCGATTTGATAATGAACTCTCCTGGCCCACCACCAATATTCATTCTCTGACCGTCAACTCTAAATAAAACGGTCGATGCGCCTTTAGCACCATCAGGTGTTTCTGCACGAATGGTCAAAGTATGATGTGTACGAGGATCAAGAAGAGATGTGTTCCATGGAGCTGTCCATAACTTATCTTGAGCAAACGTAGCCTCATGAGGATGGGGGCTACCATCAATATATACAGAGACCTTGAGTTGAGTAGGATCCTCTAGCTCAGAAAAGATCAGAAATCGGATATGCGTGCTCGACTGAATCCTCCATAGCGGTTCCTTGCTAGGTATCGAATAACGAGCATCCTTTGGATTGGTAATCAAAATCGATGGTGACGGGTGAATAGGTTCTGGCCAAACAACCTTGGTTGCGTTACCATCTTGGACCATAGGATAGACAAGGCCATGCTTGTTTGAGGATATCTTTTTAGGTATTTGATTGAGGGGAAGTTGGAGGTCGGTAAATGAAATGAGATCATGATCTACTGCGACAATTCTATAGAGTCCATGCTCTTTCATGTCACCGAGTTCTAGCTCAAGTGACTTTGTCACTGTGTTATATGACTGCAATACATCACCTAAGCCTAAGAAAAAAAAAAGCCCAATGAGGTCGATTTGACAACTTTTTTTTTTTTTTTTTGTATTTTACCAGCTATTAGTCTATGGAGGTGACCACAGAAATAGATACTATAATGTTTAGCCAGATCACGAAAAGTGTTTCCTTTATTGGAAACACCAAAGACCATAGTTGTTGTCGGATAATGAGAAAACTAGAAAATGTATCGATAAAAGGGAGAAATAGGAGAACATGAGTAAAGAAGTTACCACAAATGTATGATTAAACTGCTTCCATGTTAACGCCTTTTCTAATCTATCCATGGTCCTTGACGTAAGATAACCAAAGAAATTGAGGGGCCTTGAAGGACCTCTTTTAGGACTAAACAAGAGAGGAATAAGAAAACATCAAACATTAAAAACTGAGGAGGGTTACCATGCGTCTATAGCAACAAACTGATAATTTCCGATTTGTTTGTTGACCTGCCAGGTGTAAATGCCTTTACCTTGCTCTACCAGGGATGCGCTTTGACCATGTGTTCTATAATAATTGATTCGTGATTTCCAAGAAGGCAAATCAAAACAATCATGATTTCCACGTATGTCAAACCAATCCACGCGAACTTTTTCATTTATCGCTTGTTGATAGACATCCCATTCGTCCAAATACTGTTGTGATGTGATCCTTTTCCTATCTTTGGCGTCTGTCAAGTCACCAGTGACCACAACAAATTCAGGTCTATGATAGCAAGTCAATCTTCTTTTTTGTTCTTTTTGTTCGGAAATTTATGTTACTTTATCACGGGTAAAATAGATTGGATAAAATGCAAAAAATGACTTGTATGACCCTTGGCTCGATATCTTGAAAGGTGAAGGTCAGTTACCTATACTATCTATTAGAATGTCATGTATAAAATAGTGCAACTTACGTGTATAAAGTAAAATAGCTCATTGGGCTCATTTTTGATAATGATCGAATCATTTCTCGGCAGTAAAGGTAAGCTCTTTGTCCTTTTTGTAGGTAGCCATTGTCTCTTGGTGGTTGATCTTAATTCTCGAGTAGATGTCCAATAGAGCTGAAAGGACCTTATGAAGCTTAGAATGATGAACACAATATATATAAAGGCTGATTTATTCATTTTTCCGTAAGAAATGGGAAAAAGATTATAATAAGAAAGAAAAGGGGAAAGGAAGGTTTTGAAATGATATCTTTTTATTTACTCGAGCAAAGCCTTGTCTTTCTCTATTTCTTATCTAAGTTCCAATAGGAGGAAATAACCAGATGTCATCTTGTTTGACTCTAGTTATTGAATCATATTCGCACACGTATCCTTTTCTTCATCATTCGCCTCCTTTATATGAAACAGCCCTGTGGGTTGAAACTTTTTTTTTTCTCTATTTACAAAAGTGACGGATTTACTATATTTGTTTATTACGTTATTTGGCTACGACAATAATAAGAGCAAGGACACAGCCAACAATAGTAATGATGAGCAATAAACAGCACATGTTCTTTCTCGCCTTCTTTTGATGGCGGTTTGCAATCGTGAGTTCTTCTGACGCTTGTTTTGTATTGTGTGATATATTGAGAACATTGCCATAGATACTCTCTTTATAGAGTAATGAGTGTAAGTCTTTTTATTATACTCATTTACTTACCAATACCACTTTCTTGTTCATTCACAAGCATACCAAGGTCACGGAAAATTTCGTTTAGTTCTGTAATACCTTGTTCGATACCTTGTATCTCTGTTTCTCTCTCTGATATTAACGTTTCATTGTACTCAATCTCATTATCTAATGCTTCAAGTTGAATACGTCTCTGTGTATCCTCTATCTGTTGCTGCTCTTGATGACCTTGTTCACTATAGTTGGTTAATATAAAGTAATAACATCGTGTACTCTTACTCTTCTACTTGGGCTTGGAGTGCAGTAGTAGTTGCCTTTTGTTTATCAACAAATTCTCTTTGCTTAGACACCGAGATTCTCTGGATCTTTTGGAATTCAGCCAACACTTTTTGAAAGTCTTTTGATAGCTTTTGTTGTTCTAATTTTCTTTGTCGCTAATGCATATATTATCATCAGATATATGAATATTTGAATAATAAAAATAAATGCTTACACTTTTGCTGCCAACCGTCGTCTGGTATTGGGATAATGATTTGATATCATTTGTTGTATCTTTTATTAATTCTCGTGTACCCTCTGTTACGTCATGTCTATAGATACACTTAATATGTCTTTTGCTTGTCTCTCTTTTTTCTTACAGTTTATTTCGTATATCAGGTGTATCTCTTGAAGTACCCAAAAATCCAACTAGTCTTTCTATACTTGTTATATTTCCGTTGATATGAAATACTTGCTGCGATACTCTCTGAGTCAGTTTTTTATACTCCAAGTCATGGCCGTCTACTTTATATTAATACAGTTACTTTTTTAAATATCTTTTTACCTTCTCCAAGTCTATTTCTATTAGGATTGGAAGAAACACCTAAACCTTGTTCCAAGTCATTAAAGGACATTGTATGTGTGTGTAAGAAAAAAAAAGAGAGAAGAAATGTATAAGAGAGTTTGATTGGTCGACCTTTTTTCCTGATTTCTTGGCTGCTTGAACAAAAAAAAACGCTGTGACTTAAAAAGTTTTTTATTCTCTTCTTTTTTTTTTAATCATGAATCCAGTCGAACGTCGTCCTTCCGAGTTGAAGAATAAGCACAAACGAGAGGCGCTTTATCAAAAACAAAAGCTTGAAAAGCAAAAAGCAAAGCATAAGAAGAGAAAGGAAAGAGCAAAAGTAGAAGAGAAGAATCCAGAGTTAAAAAAGGTAAAAATAATAGATCAAACAACAACAACTAACTGTATCATTAGAAACGTTTAGAAGAAAATGTACCCAAGACACTGGATAATACAAGAGAAGCAGATGAAACAATGTTGGATCAACCAGACGATGAAGTAGCTCAGGACGAGGCCATGGATGAATTGGCCAGTTACTTTAGTGGAAAGACACCCAAGATCTTGGTGACAACTAGCAAAAAGTGTTCAACCAACTGTTACGACTTTTGTGCAGAACTCGTTTCCATGTTTCCTGATGCTCAGTTTGCTAAACGTGGACCTAAACATGAACTTAGACAGGTGATCAAGATTGCTAAAGAAAAGGAATTTACAGACTTGATTATTGTAAACGAAGATAGAAAAATACCAAGTAATTAGAAAAAAAGAAAAGTAGAGAAAGAAAAAGACTCATACGTTTATTAGATGCTATCACCTTAATTCACTTGCCTGATGGTCCCACTGCTTATTTCAAGTTGTCAAGTTATGTTCCTTCAAAGGCCATTGTAGTAAGTATTGTGTAAATCATAAAGAAAAATGTTATCTAACGATTCATAGAACCACGGCAAAGTGACTGCACATAACCCAGAATTGATATTGAACAATTTCAACACTAGACTCGGACACACCGTGGGACGCATGTTTCAGGCCTTATTACCTCAAGTACCTGAATTTCAAGGAAGACAAGTCATCACGTTCCATAACCAACGTGATTTCATTTTTGTGCGTCGACATCGATATGTGTTTAGGGATACAGAAAAAGTAGGATTGCAAGAATTAGGACCCAGGTTTACATTGAAGCTTCGTTGGCTGCAGAAAGGCGTGTATCAACGAGATGGAGAGTACGAATGGATGTTTAAACCCGAGTTGGAGACGAGTAGAAAGAAGTTCTTTTTATAACCCCTTTTTTTCATTTATTGGCATTTGCTTTCTCTTTCGATAGTCACAATAGATCATACACACACCATGTATTATATAAATATGTATAATGAAAGTCTTTATTAAAACTCTTCTATAAAAGAAACTCTCTATTTAATACTATAACAAAAAATATAATATACAAAAATGCAACAAGCGGGGGGTTATATATATTTAGTATGCCTTTTCTAAGGCTTGCTTGAGATCAGCAATCAAATCTTCCTTATTTTCGATACCGATGGAGACACGAACAAGAGTATCGGTGATACCCAAGATAGCACGATCTTCGGCACTAACAGAACCGTGGGTCATGATAGCAGGGACTTCCACAAGAGATTCGACACCACCCAAAGATTCAGCAAGAGTGATGTGGTGAAGGTTTTGGAGGAACTTGTTGACGTTGTCAAGGGAGCCCTTCATACGGAAGGAGATCATGCCACCAAAGCCACGTTGTTGTCTCTTGGCCAATTCATGGTTGGGGTGAGAAGGAAGACCGGGATAGATGACTTCATCAACATATTGATTTGTTTCAAGATACTCGGCGACGGCCTGAGCGTTTTCGGCGTGGCGTTGCATACGTACTTCCAAGGTCATCAAGCCACGGCGAGCCAAGAAACAGTCAAAGGGAGCAGGGACAGCGCCAAGAGAGTTTTGCATAAACTTGAGTTGTTCATAAGTTTCTTCGTCGTTCATGACAGCGACACCCATGACGACGTCAGAGTGACCGTTGATATACTTGGTAACGGAGTGAACGACGATATCAGCACCCAAGTTGATGGGGTTTTGGAAGTAAGGAGACATGAAGGTATTATCGACAACGAGACGAGCACCATGAGCGTGGGCACGTTCGGCAATGGCCTTGATGTCGATCACACGGAGTGTGGGGTTAGTAGGAGTCTCGATCCAGACTAACTTGGTATTAGGCTTGAATTCTTTTTCAATGTTGGCAGGGTCGCTCAAGTTAACAAAGGTAGCTTCGATGCCGAGCTTGTTGGCAACCTTAGTAAAGTAACGGTAGGTACCACCGTAGACATCATTGACCGAGATAAGATGAGCACCTTTCTCGAGTGAATTGACAATGGTAGCTGTCGTAGCAGAACCAGAAGCAAAGGCAAGACCGTACTTGGCGCCTTCGAGTTCAGCCATGGCTTCTTCAAAGTTATTACGGTTAGGATTTCCAGATCGAGAGTATTCGAAACCCTACATTGATTATTAATCGAGGCGGAACGCATTACCCCTTAAAAAACACTTACCGTGTGAACACCAGCTGCGGATTGCTTGTAGGTTGTAGAAAGGGAAAGGGCGGGAATAACAGCGCCTGTAGTAGGATCAGGGCGTTGAGCAGCATGAACAGCACGAGTACCGAAACCAGAAGACATTTGATTGATTTGTTATTTGAAAAAAGTAAAGAAAGAAAGGAGAGAAAAGAAAAAGATAAAATTTTTTATATAGATTTTTTATCTCTGTGACGGGGAAGACCATTTGGTTAATAATACCACTTTGATTTCTAAGCACCGATGGTCTTCATTGGTAAATGATGGCGACATTTCATATTCTTAAACATGTACACTCTTATTCACATTATGATGTTATTCTTTTCATTAATACTCCCCCTTCCATTCATGAATGCGCAACCCTGGGAATATTCACTTTCTTGGTGTAACAAACCTTGACAATAATATTCGGTAAAAATAATGTTTACAGTGCTCACGGTACCAATTTGCGTATTTTTAAGGCCAGTGCTAGGCGCATTACACAGGTGCCTAATTTTATTTTCGCGTGTGCGTAGTGTGTTCCATAATATATTACCAACAAGTTGCGGGACAAGCACCGAAAATTCTTTGGCTTTTTCAGGATCTTCTTCAAGCAATTTATCCAAAACAGTCTTCGACCCAATTAGTAATTTTGTTCCATCACTAGTGATCTTGACAAGATCAGGGTCAATCCTTGAGATCTCGCAATTAGCCTTGTCGGCTTTCTTTTTCCTCACCAACAGAGTATCTTTGACAACTCTCAAATCGATTTTGAAGCCTGGACTATCAGAGACATTGCCGGAGTTACCTATGCTCTCACCCCTAAGTAGTTTGTTATAGCAAGCATATTTAGGGCCAAACAGATGTATTCTTACGTACCACTTTATCCTAAGGACCGTTCTTCTGAACAATCTCTCTAGAATTGTCGACCAAATCTCTACTACAACATCGGCTTCAGTAATGTCAACTTTTTTGCTAAACACATAGCTATGATACTCCATAAGCTCCAGTCTAGTCAAATCAAAAAGAGCAAGAATTAATGAAGTTGAAGTATTAAGTACATCAAGACTTACTACTGGGCATAAATACGGTGTACACTACGCGCACGAGGAAATCCACGAGAGAGTTAATGTTACAAACGCTACCTGTGATGTCGTCAACAAACCTTTTGAATGTGCAGCGTCAAGCTAAACTTGTTCAGAAACAGACATCTTTCCATTTTCCTTGGCATAGAATATGGCTTTTATAAAGTTTCAATAAGAAAGAGATAAAATGTGGTTAGTACTGTATTTTATATGTTGTTAGTTTGATCAACAAAGAATCAAGATCATTCAAGAGTGATTTTATATTAAAGAATATCCCACAGGTAGCCTTAGGTTAGGTAAACACTTTGGTAGTGCAAAGCCGTATAGTGACGCTACCTGTAGCATTAGCCTTCTCGTGGATTTCCTCGTGCGCGTAGTGTTCATCATAAAAATACCTTCACTGTATTTTAATACAGTCACACATAATTCGGTTTCGTACCAAAATGTAAATTAATCTTCTGCAAATTATACATCAAATGTTTTGAAAGCCATTGCTCTTCATGTTCAGTGCTTTGAGATTCCATTTTTATAAAAAATAAGCTTTGAAATGTTTATTTAAAGAATATAAAAGAAAAATTAATACTTCGTCAATCCTCCTTTTGCGGCAATTACCGCCTCGCATCGAGCCTTCATGCTTCCAACCAAATATGCAGCTAACCCAGGGCTTATTTTCTCCAGCTCTTCTCTCAACGCGACACTCAGCTCTTCAATATTTCTTATCTCACTTCTTCTTTCCTTGATGAGATTACCCAAAGCAATCCAAACATACTCTGTTGGGTTCAAATCAGGACTTTGTGCGGGCCAGTACTTAAAGTCCCTGATCTGGTAGATTTCCTTCTACCATCGCCCATAACCACCAGTTATGGCAGATAGCTCCATCCTATTGGAATATGAAACCCCTGTCCTCTTGCTGGCAGAGTTGTGCAAACCAGGAGTGGTAGTTTTGGGCTAAAATATTTATATATTTGTCTTGATCAACTGTGCCGTCAATCAAGATCAAAGGGCCAAAACCATTGGCATGAAAGCAGCTCCAAATCATCACCCCACCGCCTCCATACTTCTTCGTTGATATCTCGTCTATATTGAATATATTCTTGCTCATGTTGGCACATTATTCGCATTTTATGATTACAAAACAGCAAAGGATCGCTTCTACCTGTATTAAGTCAGGCAAAGAGTAGCAGAAGAAATGGTGAACATGCTTGTTCATGGAGGTACTAAATATAATAAGAAGAAAAGAAAGAAGAGAAACAGGAAGAAAAAAAGAACCAAGTTGCCAAAAACAGGTGTGTAATCAATTTTAGCTTTGACAATCAAGTCTTATTTAATTGTTGTTTTAAAGAAGCCAAAAGTGAAAGCCCGCAAAGTTCCAAATGGAAAGAGAGAAAGTACCCCTTGTAGCCTTTAGTGCAGGGATGTTTGGAAAAGACTTGATAAAGCTGAAGGGAGACAGGTGCGGTGTTACTGGTGCCTTTTGGCGAGCGTTAAAATGAAGAGAAGCAGCTGGAGATCTCATCGTCGTTACAATTGATGAATACAAAACATCTAAAGTTTGCAATGCTTGTAGTAACGATCTTCTTGCAAGAATGTCTGGATTGAAAGACTGTAGTGCTCTGGTTTGTAACACCTGCAAGACATTATAGCAGTAAGATGTCAACACTTGTAAGAATATGCTGTCCATTTCTCTTTCGATTTGAGATGGAAGAGGCCGATCTTCCAAGTATAGAAGAAATTAAATGTTATTTAAAATTGTCATAATGAACACGCTTTCCCTTCTGGGATAAAGATTGTTACAGGTAAAGGTGTCTGATAGTTTTACTTGATCCAAAAAAAAAAGCTTTGGCCTTTACTAAATTTTTGCATATTACGAACACTAGTATATGGTTTATCACAAAACTTTTTATATTTTATATTATAAAGCAACAGTGTGTATATGTAAGTAATGGGTGTGTGTGTGTAGGGGTGAGTATTGTATTTATATGCAAATTAGTTCTTTTTTTTTTTATAAACAAAAAAGAAAAATGTATATAGAATTCGAAAAGGGGGGATATAGCAAAAAGAATAAAGAGATCAAGACATTTACATTCTACTACATTAAAGTCGATAGGATCCAGCCAAAGAAATTACGCATTACTGTCCTTGATTGACTCAGTTGATACCATCAGAGAGGTTCAACAGTAATTGTGCTAGACATCTTTTGGTGGCAATATCATCCTTCAAAGCTTGATGAAAGGTTGAGTCACGAAGTGGTTCAGGAAGGCATTGGCGTAGTGCCTCACGTGCTCTACATATCACATAAAATAAGTATCACCTATCTTTTTTTACCTTGGATTTTCAGATAACCGTAAATAGCAACGAATGACGTGCTTCAAGAGACGCATGGCTTGCGTTTCTACTAATTGATTTACCATATTGTGCAGTACGGTAGCTACTGCATAAAATCTCTCGTACGTTTGACAAATATAATACTATAGACAATAAGCATTTGTTGATGTCACATAATCACATTACTTACCAAACCAGTCTCATCCAAAAGAATCTTTTGAACAACAAAAATGGCAACTGTTTTTGATAGCTCACTGCCTGATTCCATAATACGAAGACAAAGAGGAATGATTTCAGTTGACAGTAAGAAGCTGATGACCTCTGGATTATCATTCTATAAAACATTGTCTTATTATTTGTCCCACTTTTTACTCATAACAATAAGATTACCTTGACTAAAGCACCAATCACGCCAAGGCTGGTCAATCGAAGGTATTCAAAAGGTCGAGTTTTGCTTGTTGTGTTTAAAAAGGGATAAAGATAGAGTGGAATATGAGCTACATAAGTATTAGTCTGAATTGTACATGTATACTATATTTATAAATACCTTGAAGAAATAAACTGCGTGTTTCATTATGATTTGCTACACACTGAAGTAAAGCAAGCGCATTACAAACTCGGTTGGAAGCTCCGCCACTGAGCGTAGGTGGATTTAACAGTGGATAGACTGTGATGATTTCTTGAAGTAAAACAGGAATGACACCTACGCAAATACATGTATAAGCAACGTAATCCAATTCTCCTTAAAAAAAACCAAGGCCGTACCATATGAATACCATAATACAAGGGCCAAATCTTCAAACTGTTCTCTCTTCTTACTTAGGTCCAATAAAGCTTGTTCTCTTGTCGAAGGATTGAGTAATTCCAAGACAAGACCATAAATTTTTTCTTCGTCCAAGTGAGCTAGTTTATGTTGCTGTTGTTGAGCAGCAGCGTGAGCATGAGCGTGAGCAGCAGCAGCAGCTTCTTGTTGTTGTTGCTGTTGAATATTATAAAGAGGCATAGCTTGAGAAGGATTGCCCAGCATTTGTGCAAAGACATAAGGATCAGCGTTAGCTCCATTAGTTGACCGCATAGCAGGAAAATGCTGAGACAGCGCGTTGCTGGGAAGTGATGCTGACAGTGGATTAACGGCTGCTGCGGCTGCTGCATTGGCTAAGGATGACTGTTGAATATACTGATGGAGGTGTGAGTTGGGATGCATTTCTAATTATATAAAAATAATAAAGGAATATTGTTTTAAAAGGGAAAAAAGAAACGAAAAAGTTTAGTTCCAAAAATTATTTTTGTAGGTGAAGCTATCACGTGACTTCGATCTAAACTTGATGAAAGAAGGGAAAAGGGAAAACAGGGGGTAAGAAAAAAAAGGAAAGAGGGAGATGTAAGGAGGAAGAGGACGCTATTTTAAATAATTACTGCCTTTAATGTGTAAAGAAAGAAGAGTGCATGGTTTCCTTATTCTGAGTGTCTCAAACGAAGCTGAACTGACTTTTTCATAAACAAAATTTTTTTCTGGTTTCTTTTTCTCTCTCTCTCTGTTTTTCTATATATATTTATACTTCCTTTCTTTCTCTTTCTTTCTCTTTCTTTCTCTCTCTTTGTTTTCTTTATATTCCCTTTTAATTATTTCTTTAGCTATACATCTTACTTGTTTACTTACACTTCCCACTTTATAGTAATGTGGGGTTGGTAACTTTTTTTTTTTTTTTACACTCTTTTTTTGTATATTCCTTTTATTTATTCTAACAACCACCCTAAATATAAACTATTGTCATGGCAACTATAGAAAACAAAGTTTATTTACCCAAGTCAACAAGTGAAGACTCTATAGATTCAGGCATATACAGTCCATCTTCTACAGATTCAGTCACCAAAAACACTACATCGAGTTCAATATCTCTCGTCAGACAGTTGGCCGCACAATTTCCAGAATATGAACGAACGCCCTTGATGGAGCCCTTTGGGGGAGTGTGGATGAATCCAAATACGGAAATGGACAGGCCAGATGCTGAACGAATCATTGAAGTTTCAAACAATGGAAGATTTGCTAAATTGAATACCTTTTTGGGTAAAGGAGCTTATAAAGTGGTTTATAAAGCGATTGATAGAGAAGAAGGATATGAAGTCGCTTGGAATGTATTACAGGTAAACAATGAAATATGTGGTATAGAAGAGGTCTAATATGTCTTGTAGGTAACCAGACAAGAAGTGAAGGCACTGGGCCATGAGATCGAAATCTTAAAATCAGTTCGACATCCAAACATCATCACCTTTCATGAGGCATGGTATACCGACACTGAATTCGTATTCATCACAGAACTAATGACCTCTGGTACACTACGCGAGTATATCCGTAAACTAAATTTACCCAACATAAAGATCGTCAAACGATGGTGCAGACAAATCCTCAAGGGTCTCGTCTATCTGCACTCTCATAACCCGACCATCATTCACCGCGACATCAAGTGTGATAACATCTTCATCAACGGCGCTCATGGCGAGATCAAGATTGGTGATATGGGTACAGCTGAAATGAAAATTGACAAGAAATACACAGTGATCGGTACCCCTGAATTCATGGCACCAGAAATGTATGAGGAAAAAGGATACAGTGAAAAGGTTGATATCTACGCCTTTGGTATGTGTCTGCTCGAGATGGTGACGGGCGAATACCCTTATAATGAATGTACGAATGCAGCTCAAGTGTTCAAAAAAGTGACCCAGAATATTCGTCCAGAGTGCTTGTCCAGAGTGCAGGACCCCGAGGTGCTTTCGCTGATCAATAACTGCTTGGCTCCAGAAAATGAGCGTATGTCAGCTCAAGAGATTCTGGAGCATTCCTTTCTTGCGGTTGAGCCTGAAGTCGTACTGCTTGCCTCAGACATGTCCATGAAGCAGCTTACCTTGCAAGTTGTTTTCAAGGGCACCGATAAGCTCTCGGTCAAGTTTGAGTTCAATGCGGACACAGATACCGCAGAAGACGTAGTTGCAGAAATGATTGAAGAGCAAGTATTACCCGAGAGGTATCAACAGTTGATCACGGGTGATATCAACCGTCTGCTTCGAGACTTGACCAAACAGCAAACCGCAGAAAAAGTCGAGGATGATCGGACAGTCTGGCGAAGAGAAAATGATATCCGATCTGAACTTGAGCGGGCTAAGCGCGAGCTCAGAGCAGCAAGGGATAAAATTCTTGATGCTGAAAAGAAGTTTGATTCACTAGAACAGCGTACACAGTTGGCTGAAGAACGTTATAGAGACACGATAAATGCCCTCGAACAAGCCAAGTTATCCGTTCTTGAATCTCCTACGTCCTCTTTACCAGATACAGACTTAACCGATCATGAAACTGCTAATGAAGATAATCTAACTACTTTCGATTCAGCTGGTAAGCCTTGCAAAAATAATTTGGTAATCTTTATTAACTTCTTTTGATTAGTTGAATATCCAAATGATACAAGTATAGAAAGGTTTGTATTAGAAACAGCAGCAGCTTCTAATCGAAACAAGAACAAGGCGCTAGAATGGGTACACAAACTCCATGAGCAGGATATCATGACCGTTGGTGACCTACGTGATCTTCATGATGAGGACTGGGCTGGTATAGGCTTAACCGTATTTGCCCAACGTGCTCTCAAAAATATGCTTGCTGGTAAAAAGCAAGTAGCTCAAAGGTCAAGGGCGACCTCAAGTGGAACAAACACACCTATTGATGAGCAAGATCAATATATCTAAAAAGAGAGAGGAAGAAAAAAAAAGTTATTCTCATCTATACATAAATGTATCTGTATTCCCCCGCTTTCTCTCTCTTTATTGAATGTTTTTTTATAATAATAATATATCATTGATACATAAAAGAGTCTTTATAATAGAGATCAATCCATAAGAAATGCAGTAATTTCTCTTGATTTGGTATTGCAGCAGTCTTGAACTGTGGCTTATTCGTGACCATGTTTTATCTTTCTGGATATTTTGTATCAAATTGAAGCCTACTCTTTTTCCTCTTTTAAAAAAGCAGCGTAGAATGCCCAAGACAACACAGCGTGAAAATAAGAAACAATATAAACCAAAGAGCAAGAAGGTTTCCCTTCCAAGCACAGAAGACGAGCATGTGCCTAATGAAGAGAAATATTTGCGCATAGAACCCAGCAAAAGCTTCAAGGTACATAATAGTATTATGTAAATAAATGTTGACTAAACACTCATATATAGAAAATAAAAGACAAGAAGTTAAGAACCAAATTAATAAAACAAGATATTCAAGCTCGAGAAGCAGCTAAAGCAGCAGCCAGAGCAGAGATGTTGTTGCACGAGGATGTAGGTTACTTGGAAGCAGAGGGCATAGAAAATACACATTATTATACACAAGATAAACTTAAACAAGCAGTGGATGTCAATACAGCCAGCAAGGTAATCTTGTTATTTTACTTTTTACGAATGAATCAACTTAATGTTCATTATAGATGTTTTCTTTAGATCTACCCACATTTGGTCCATACAGGGTTGACTATACCCGCAACGGCCGTCACTTGCTGATAGGAGGACATAAAGGACATATTGCTGCATTCGATTGGCAATCAGGAAATCTTCATTTTGAACTTAATGTTAATGAAACTGTGCGTGATGTTACGTAAGTTGAATCATTATTTATATACAAAAAAACAGTCGCTGATCATTATTCTAGCTGGCTTCACAATGAACAGATGCTCGCAGTGGCACAAAAGAAATACGTCTACATATACGATAAAACTGGCTTAGAAATTCATCGTCTAAAGAACCATGTGAATGTGGATCGACTAGAATTCTTACCCTATCACTTTTTACTAGTGTCGACTGGCAGTACTGGATTCTTAAAGTACCAAGATACATCCACTGGTCAAGTTGTTAAGGAAATCCGAACGGGTTTAGGTCCCTGTAATACGATGACACAGAACAAATATAATGCAGTCATTCATCTCGGTCATAATAATGGCACAGTGACCATGTGGTCACCTACAATGGTTCAACCTCTTGTCAAGATGCTCTGTCATCGTGGTCCAGTGAGAGCTGTGGCTGTTGATAAAGGAGGATATTATATGGCTACAGCAGGTGTTGATGGTCAGCTCAAGATTTGGGATATTCGTAAATACGGTGTTGTGCAAGAGTACTTTACGCCTCGTACAGCGTCATGCTTAGACATATCAGACACAGGCTTACTAAGTGTTGGTTTCAATACGACGGTACAAGTATGGAAAGATGCCTTTAGAACAAAGCAGACAACACCATACATGACACATCTCGAAGAAGGCTCACCTATTGTTGATTCTAAATTTGTACCCTATGAAGATATATTGGGTATTGGTCACCAAAAGGGTTTATCTCATCTCATCATTCCTGGTGCTGGTGAAGCCAACTTTGATTCGCTCGAGGCTAACCCATACCAGACAAAGAAACAGAGACAAGAAGCCGAAGTACACTCACTATTAGACAAGTTACAGCCTGAAATGATCGTACTTGACCCAACATCGATTGGTAAAGTGGCCAGAAAGCCTAATAAATAATAAACTGTATATTACAGTGCTCTCGGCTTCAAATTGCGTCCAAAAAAAATTCATTGCGCATCTTTAATTTTCAAGCAGCGCATAATTATTTGGTCAAATTGCGCACTTGTGATTTCTCAAACTGCGCTAATAAAAAAGTCAAACTGCATATTTTACAACTCAAATTGCATTATTTTTATTCGTACCTTTTTCATAAGCTATCTCTTTAAAAGCAAATATCAGATCGATAACATGTACTCAATAAAAGGAAAAATTATTTTTGAAGATAGTCAAGGAAATGTTTTTGATGAGAGCGGGAATGAAGCAATGGACTGGGATTAGGAAGTTGATCCTCATAATTTGGAGAACCTAACCAACCTAACACGCTATTTGAATAAGCAAGTACAGCCGGAAATGGACTTAGACAGTCCGGATTGTGTTGAAAAAATGGAAACAATAGAAGAACCTTGAAGAGAAAAAAACGAAAAGCAATAATAAAAAAAAAATCTATATTCTGATGACCAAAAAACGTTATTTATATATCTTCACAAGATAAAATTGTTAAACGCAGCTGAATCGGCTCGGAGAGTGGGAGTGAAAGTACGTACAGGGCAAGCGTGGTCAGCAAGAACGAAGGAAGATCCTAACTGGAATATATACGAAAAGCAAACAAATCAGAACAAAATTGGTACAGGTCAGCTACAGGAGAAGCATAAAGCTTTTCTTCTTGATTATTTTGATGAGTATCCTTCAGCTCGAGTTAAAGATGCAATTGATGGCCTTACAGAAAACTTCGAAAACTTCTCCTTGAAAGAGACTGTTGTGGGAAAGTACATTAGAGAGGATTGCAATTTAACAATAAAAAAAGTTACCCGCCATCCACATGCAAGAAACACTGACAATACTCGTAAAGAAAGACACGACTGGGTGAAAACTTGGTCGAAAACAGATATGGATTTCAATAGTAATTGTGTCTTTATTGACGAAAGCGCTTTCGACATTAATATGAGGCCACCAACAGCTAGATCTGCTCGAGGTACGCCAGCCATAATTACTACGCCAACAACAAGGGCTATAAGCCATACGATTCTTGGTGCAATATGTCCTATGGGAGTCGTCAACATGGAGATCAGAGTTCCTTTAAAATCAAAAAGAATGAAAGCTGCAGGAAGCCGCAAAAGAAAAAGTCCAGCAGCGAAAAAACCAGCAACAGGTGGCACCAATTCAGGTCATTACGTTAGATTTATAAACTCAACGTTGGATGAGATGGACAAGTATCCGGAAATGAAAGGATTTTATTTGGTTATGGACAACTCGCCTATTCATGACAAAAAGAGTGGAGAGATTGACAAGATGATTGAAGATAGAGGCTATAAGTGTGTTTATCTCCCGAAGTACTCACCAGAACTTAATCCTATTGAACAGTTTTGGGTAAGCGTCAAACGCAAAGTAAGAAGAAGCCAATTTGGTAATACAGAGGACCTCAAGGCAAGAATAAGCGAGGCTTGCGATGCTGTTCCTGCACAGCATATGAAAAACTTTATTCAACACTCTGTTAACGTGTTTGAGAAATACTTAAATGATATACCGATTTAAAAGATAAATCTTTTATATAATTCATAATATGTAGCATATGAAATAAACTGATGCATTTTTCTTCCTGACAACCCACTAACAATATGATATAAAATTAATAAACCTTTTTCAATTTCTCTATATGGACCTGGATATTCAATTGATCCGTATATAACATTTAAAAAATAAAATTCTGGTATATAACCTAATTGTTCCAACAATACATCTTTAATAAATCTTATAAATTTTACATCTTTTAATTCTGATCTATGATCCAGTTCATATTTAGAAATAGACATTCATTTGCTATCAATTTATTTACTTCTTTATTTAAAATATCTTTGTGTAAACTTTCCTCTTCACTTTCTGTCATTATTTTTATTATATATTGATATTCAATTTTTTAAACAACATCAGCTTTTTTATGTTTATAACAGTTATAGTTAAGTATTTATATTTTAGCAATATATGATTATGACATAATCAGCTATTCCAAAAGTAAATAAAATACTAATGAACAGTCTCCCTACGCTACGATACTCTTTTTATAACGAATAAATAAAAGAGTTTTATTGGTCAATTCGATTTTAAATACAGCAATTTTTTTTTTTGAAACTACGTATAATAGAGACGAGTAGTCGTGCTTTGACATAGATAGTTACTTGAAAATATATGGCTAATAAAATATTAATTATTTCATACATTTCAGTTCTTTTTTTTCATAATCTCGCAATTATATTTTTCTTTTTAATCAGTATGATGAACAAAACTACTTTGTCGCAAAAAAATTAGCCATAAGGGAGATAGCGATAAAGAGTTGACTTTGAGGATACTGAATATCAGCCAAAAGATGCTACGGGTGGAACTTTGCAAAAACCATTGTATCGATTGGATAATCTTTCTGATATTTCTATATCGTCTGAAGAAGAAGAAATAGAAACGTTAGCACAAGCTATGGAAGAGCTTGATTTAGGTGGAATACCACTTCCAGATATGGTGTAGACATCAACTAAATACAAACCAACCCAAGTTACTCAATTACTTTGATGCAAAACACGAGTATGAAGCTTCCT